TTTCCTTCTCCAATAGATATTTTGAAATGGTGAACCATTTGTAACGTGCCATCATCTTGGACGAATGACGTATGTGACAAAATTGCTGACGCTACACTGGTTACAATGCATTAAGTGATGGTGACGAATTTAGAAGTTTTGTTTCTTGAACGTATCTCAGTTTGATTTTCATTAAAGTATAAAATGTCATTTATCAATTTGATTATCTGTCACAAAAATAATAAGGTTTGATTCATTATGGCCCTGATGACTGTTACTTAACCTTACAGCCTCACTGACGTGTAGTAACATTCAAGTACTCGGCGCAGCAGGCGTGTCAGCCCTGTCTACAACACAGCTGAGTAGCCTTGCTGATCAGGAGTTCACTAGTTGCATAGAGACACTGGGATCAGTAACGGACTACAGTGACGCACAAAAGACGGCCCTTCTAGACGTCGCCACGAGGAGTAGTGTAAGTGGACATTAATATACGGTAGAATACGGTAAACATCTTTTATATCTTTTAATGTTTGAAATTTTACCAATTCACCAATTATTATCAATTGACTCGACAGTCCTAACAATATGAATCGCAAATTTGATTATGTGTTATTTCGAGTTTTCAGACTACACAGAACCAATGCTTTAAACCGCATATTCCTTTGTGTTGCTAATCAAACTTGTTATTTTAGTAGAACAGTTCGTGCCTGGGTATTCCAATATTTATTGGTGCTTATTTGCCTCAATACTCATTACTTAGATATATTAAGGTTATTAATTTTAATAGAAGAACGACTTTGAAACAAAAATGCGTATTTGATGACGCTGTAGTAAACGATTGAAAAATTATTGATCAGAAAATATATAGAAGAAACTGAACTAATGAAGCTTCAAAACAGATACCTAATATAACATTTTTTAAATATACTTTCTTCTACTGTAATGCCATTTAAACTCAATATCATTGGGAAACAATGGCAAAAGCTACTCGATATAAGATAAGATGAACATATCATGATAATGATCGTTTCAGGTTTTGGGCGCCCCATCCACTTGGTCCACCACCAACGTCTACAATACTGGTGTGATATGTCAGGCCCTGACAGAGGCCCAGATCGGTACCCTCACTCTAGACCTGGACGCCGTCAGTCGACTCGGACAGTTCGATGGTTGGGATAGTCTTAAGGTCAGGGTCTAGTTTGATTTAATGTAGGGCTGGAGAAGGTTGCTGAAGACATTGAAAACTACCAAAGAGAAGAAATGAAAATGAAATTTAGAATATAAATATTAAGTTGAGCTTTTAACAGTGTAACTTGAAAAAAATCATCTATGATTGAAAGAGGAAATCTTGGAGGTTAATACGATGATTATTTTCATTTCAAGAAAAAGGCAGTGTTTGAACGATGGTTGAGTCTACTGAAGGGAGGAGATAGCAGTACCATTACGTCCAGTGAACTCAGGTCACTAGGTCATATAACCTGTGGAGCGACAACAAGCCACATCGATGTCATCCCACACGCTATCTATAAGTACGTATCATCAAAAGTATCAAAAAACTTGGACACAATTCATATTGTTGTCACCCCACGCATTATTTATGAATAAGTTATATTTCAAAAGTCATTGCAAAACGTTTTGTATTAAGGACTTAATACTCTTAAGTTTACATTCTTCTGTCTGTAGTCAGTTTGATCTCATATTGATCACTTGGTCATATACCTTGTGAGTCGGACACAATTCCTCCCAGTGAAATTTTATGTGTTGTTTATCAGTAAGTATCATCATTCAAATGCCAATTAATTATGTTGTTGAACAACGTACCTGTATGAAACATGCGATCTCCTTAAGCTCATATCTGTCATAAATGATCGGAAACAGCTACATCCTCAACTGGATTGCTACAACATATACCTGGCGGGTCATATATCATCCTCATCATTGTCATTTCGCATGTTTTTGTAGGTCTATATTTTTATCCAAACATCATTAGCACAATACGCACACTAGTATATTAGAAACGTATGCACGAAATACATTTAATATGACCTTTATATGGAAATTACTTTTGACCTCTATCCTCACAACTATAACGGAGCATCACTTTACGACAATAGCTATTTTAAATTTAACAATAAATACGCATTAGTTTTCAAATCCAAATCTGCATATGTCATTAGGTAGTTCAAGGCATGTCTTAGCAATTTATCGTTGTACTATTCTCTACCAAATATCCTTCGTCGATGCAATGCTTTCCTTTGAGCGATATAAACTGAAAGTAAACACTGCAACAAGTACTAATCAAAACTCTTATATAATGAATTTTGCCTTACAGGAATGCGGCAGACTCGATCGGCGAGCTGACGAGCTGTGAGGACACACAACTGCAATCGTTTGCCGCCTTGGCAAAAGCAGCTTACGGGAGTGACGTCACTACGTGGCTTTCCTCTGTTATATCTAACATTGGGATAACGATAGGTAATACAGATTTGTAAATATATCACAGAAAAAAAAGCCACCGAGAGAAAAACGTCATCGTCGCTACCAAACCATTGCGAAACGTCTATTGACAAATCAAGACAACTGGTATACAGGAACATATAAAAGTGACTCGATAGGCTAGATGAACCATCTGCTGCCAACGAATCATTGTAGCCACAGTGTTTTTTTTATATAAACCCCTTCAATCTACGCTAACTAAATTGTGAACTAATTTCCATTTACCTAATGTCGTTGTCAGTCAGTGTCTTGAATCGTTCGCAGTTGACATATTCTTTGTTGTATTACTCCTTGCTAGATACAGTGACACGCAACACTGACTCGCTAGATTGAGTGATATACGTAGCCCTTTTCAGTTGACCTATTATATAACATTTGTATCGTTATACAGGCGGTTTACCGACCTCTGATATTGGTGTGCTATCGACTACTCAGATAGATGCTATAGACTCCATCCACATCTCGCACATTCCACCTGCTACATTTGCAGTAAGTAACGTATGAACGTACAGCCTGTGTGTGAGTATTCATAAAAGTAGTAAATATAGATATATAGAGTTGCGATACTTACGAAATTAGTTTTTAAACAAGTTTATCCATGGCAGTGTACTGATGAAACATATAGATTATAAAAGATGAATGTTCCTCAGCAATATGCATGTTTTATATCGATAATGTTCAATTTCAACAAAGTCGCAAAAAGAAAAACAATCAAAATTTCGCAAAGGAAATATCGGTTTTCGAAGTGTCTGTACGCCAAAGGTTACGTACGAAAATCGAAAGGTGAAGTATAGAGATGGTCGACATGTCCTTGAAGATGTATCGGTACATGTGTACAAACTCTTTGAAGGAACAAGACGGTTCTTAACTTGTCCTTTTTTAATGACATACATTGAATATTCTTTTACGGAAGTTTACGTAAACTAACAAGTGATTTTAAACGGTACACATTTTAGTAAACGGTAACTTTCTCGACAATTCTCCGATCGAGTAACTGGTTAATCGGTTAGTTTGGCTACCAAACATTTAACAACAAATATACATTATATGTTTAGCAAATATTCCGTTCAAAATCAATTTATGTCCATATATATTAATTTGCACGATAGTTTTACTTTAACTTTTACTTTATTTCAAATCCTCAACACCAAAACGCAGGAAATATAAAAGTTTCCTTTGCCAACATTCGTCAGCATAAAGTGGGATACAAGCTGATTTTACTCCATGTTTTAGGGGTCATTTTTATAATTCATTCGAAAATTATTTTACACTCCACCTTTAAAAAAGAGTTTTACATGTACCTCGCAATGTTGGCATATCACAACTATACATTATGGTTCCATTTTAAAATCTGATAAGGCCTATCATGGTGTGGTCGGCAATGTCAATCCGTACTGTGAAATAACAGCCGAACAGGTCAGCCTGAACGTTGCTTGCATTGCTAAAAAATCGATTTCAGTCTCATTGATGTAAAATTTGAACAAAAAGGCCAAAAAAACCACGAGCTCCCCTTTTGGATAAAAATCAATGTCCGAATATTCGGTTATTGATTTTAGTAACGGTTCGCGGTCTACCGACCGAGTAACCGATTAATCGGTTACGCGTTGACAACCCTAACAAAATTGAAAGGTCTATCGCACAAATCGGATTTTTTATCATTCGAATCTATGAGGTATGTTTTGTTTTGTTTTTACCAGTTGTTTGTTTACGGCAGGGG